ACCCATGCAGCCTGGCTGTCACTTAGAGACACAAGATAGCATCGTGGTTCTCAGTTAGATTGTATCTCTGATTGAGAGTAGTTGGATTAGATTCCATGTCTAAGATTCCAGCTGAACAGTTGGGCATCAATTAAATCATAGTCTGAATAAAAAGGCAGAATCGACACCCACAGATCTGAACCAAATGCCAGGGAAGTAATCTTCATTTCTTTGGCATTAAAAAAAAAAAAAAAAAAAAAACTCAAATCATTTTAGATTGTAAACTTCTCATTGAAATTGTTTCCCCCCCCCTTGGTGTTTTGCTTTGTTCTATGCTCCCTCTCTGTGTTATTCATGTCCCTTCAAAACTTACTTGAAGACCTAAATTTGTAATTAGTTCTTTAACTCTTCCTCCCACCACTTTTCTTTCTCAGTAAGATTACTTATGGCAAGTTCATCAAATTGCATTTTTAAAACCTACCAATCTTCATTTTTGCCATATCTTTTTTCTTCATATTTTCTTTTTTTTTGTTTTTTGTTTTTTTCCTGAGGAAGATTGGCCCTGAGCTAACATCTGTGCCCATCTTCCTCTATTTTATATGTGGGATCCAGCCACAGCATGGCTTGATGAGCGGTGCATAGGTCCGAGCCCAGGATCTGAACCTGTGAACCCCAGGCTGCTGAAGTGGAGCATGTGAACTTAACCACTGTGCCACGAGGCCAGCTCTTCATGTTTTCTTTTAAAGTCTCAGAATTTTTGAAAGCTGCATTCCTCTTCTCTGGAACTACACTGTTTAATATGGTAGCCACTAGCCACAGATGGCTTTTTAAGTTAAAATTAATTAGAATGGGCAAAAGATTTCAACAACACTCCTCTGAAGAAGATACGGGGCTGGTCAATAAGCACAGGAAAAGATGTTCAACATCATTAGCTATTAGGGAAATGTAAGTTAAAGCCACAGTGAGATAACACTACATACCTATTAGAATGGCTAAAATAGAAAATACTGACAGTCCCAAATGCTGAAGAGGATGTGGAATTAACCATATCTCTCATACATTGCTGGTGGGAATGTAAAATAGTATAGCCACTCTGGTAAACAGTTTGGCAGTTTCTTATAAAGATATACTTAACGTACAACCTGACCATCAGGCTTGTGGGTATTTACCCTAGAGAAATGAAAAGTATGTTCATGCAAAAACCTGTGCACTTATATTCACAGCAGCTTTATTTGTAATAGCCAAAAACTGGAAACAACATAAATATCCTTAAATGGGTGAATGGGTAAACAGACTGTGGTATATCCATACAATGGAATACTATTCAGCAATAGAAAGGAAGGAACTATTGATACATGTGGGGTATTTTAGGGGTAATGGGACAGTTCTGTATTCTGATTGTGGTGGTAGTTACTATAGAGGGAAGGGAGGAAAGAAAGAGTGAGTGCATGTAAAACTAGTGAAATCTGAATAAGGTCTGTAGTTCAGTTAATAGAACCCATGTCAATTTCCTGGTTTTGATCATTGTACTGTGGTGACGTAGGATGTTATTGTTGGAGGAAACTGAGGGAAGGGCACACAGAAACTCCCTATATTACCTTTGCAACTTCTACGTGAGTCTAAAATAATTTCAAAATTAACATTTTTTTATTAAAATTCAGGTCTTCAGTTACACTTTGTCGTTAGTGCCATCAAGTCCATTCCGACTCCTGGCAACCCTGTGTACAGCAGAGCAGCACCCTGCTTGGTCTTTTTGCACCACCCTCTCACCTTCTGGCGTTATATCAAACAATGCTCAGCTGTTATTCAGGGGGTTTTCTGGCCAGTGTTTTCAGCAGTGGGTGGCTACATCCTTCTTCTAGTCTGTCTTAGTCTGGAAGCTCTGCCGAAACCTGTCTACCATGGGTGACCCTGCTGGTATTTGAAATACTGGTGGCACAGCTTTCAGTATCACAGCAACATGCAGCCGACACAGTATGACAGCTGACAGATGGGTGGTGTGGTTCTCTGACCGAGAAACGAACCTGGGCCACGGTGGTGAGAGCACCGGATCTTAACCACTAAATCACCATCAGTTACACTAGCCACATTTAAAGAGCTCCACAGCTCCATGTGGCTAATAGCAGCCGTATCAGATGGCACAGATGTAGAATGTTTCCATCAACACAGAAAGTTTTATTGGACAGTACTTATCTAAAAGTACATGTCTGACTTTGGCCAGTGTTCTCTCTTCCTTGAACATTTGAGATTCTAATATCACATGAATACTCACTTGTATTTTCTGTCATATTACCTTAACAACCAGTTGTTTTGGTTATATTCAAGCCTAGAGAAATACTTTTTAATTTCTCAAATTTCAGAAAAATAAAATAGTCTTTATGTAAATTTAGGAATTTATCTGACACGTGTTTTAATAGGTATCTGGATGTTTTAGTTTTCCACTACTCATGTATTTTGTCTCTGGACCAGTTTTATCACCTGTATCCCCTGTATTAGGATATAGTCCTAATATCTCTCATACAGTTATCCTAATATACTTGCTTGACAGTGTCCTCTGTGTTTTCCTTCCCTTTTCTCCTTATCAAAAAGCTCTTTCAAAATCTTGGAGTTCTGAAAAGGTGCATAGTTTTTCATGTTTGGTGCTATTTCTTCCCTGTCTTCTGGATGTGCATCTTTTGAAAAAGTAATTCCTTCCATTACCCTGTTCTAGTCTTTTGTCCCATAACACTATTCCTCTTTAACTTCTTTGTATTTTCACTTAAGAATTACTGGGCACTTCCTTTACTATGGAACTTCTTTTTGCTTCAGCTTTATCCATCCTGTATGATATCTAGTGTTAAAGTCTTATATGAGTCACCATCTGAGATTTGAAGGCAAGGAAGTGGAGGATGAGAACAGCTTAAGATCCATTCATGTAACAACAAAGTTAAGACACAGAAGGACAAGAAGAATGGGGGTGACCCACCTGAAGAAAACCACAAAGAGAAATAAAGGAATATTGGGGGCTGGCCCAGTGGCGCAAGCGTTTAAATGTGCGCGCCCCACTGTGGCAGCCCGGGGTTCGCCAGTTCAGATCCCAGGTGCACACCGACGCACTGCTTGTTAAGCCATGCTGTGGTCGTGTCCCATATAAAGTAGAGGAAGATGGGCATGGATGTTAGCCCAGGGCCAGTCTTCCTCAGCAGCAACAACAAAAAAAACGAGGAGGATTGGCTCAGATGTTAGCTCAGGGCCGATCTTCCTCACAAAAAAAAAGAAAAAGAAAAAAAAAAAAAACCACAAAGAGAGAAATAAAGGAAGATTGGAATTAAGGTTTATATTTTCCTTGGTGGAAAATCTGAATATTGTGATGATATCCATGTTCCTTCAAAATAATTCATAAGTTTATTGCAATTGTATTCAAATTCCAGTAGGATTTTTCTTAAAACTTGACAATTCAAAAATTCACGTGGAAGACCGTCAAAGAACATTGGGAGCGTAAAAAAGAATCATAATCAGGGATATGGGAAACAAAGCCAGGTAGTAAAATTTAATAAGACAACAGTAATTACAGTGGCATAAAAACAGAGTAATCATGGATCGAAAGAGCCAGGAAATATACTCTAACCAGTATAAGAATTCAACAGGCTTGTTCCTCTACAGTCTCTGAACACAGCAGCCAGAATTACCAATTTAAAATGTAAGTCTAATGTCATTCCTCTGCTCAGTAGCCACCAGTTGTTTCCCAGCTCACTCAGAGTAAAGCCAAATTCATCATAGTAGTCTACAGACCCACCGTGATTTAGACTGCCACCTTTCCTGTCTGACCTCATCTTCCAGACTGCCCTCTTAGTTTCTCTGCTCGATCATTTTAGCCTCCTTGTCTTTCTTGTAGTAAATCAAGCATGGTCCCACCTCAGGGCCTTTGCACTTATGGTTACTCTGCCTGAGATGATTTAGCCCACAATACCTCCTTAGCCTGCTCCCTCTCTTCTTTCGGGTCTCTGTTCAAATGTCAGTAAGGTCTTCCCTGACTGCCCTGCATAACATGGGACCCTGCCATCCTTTCTAAACTCTTGCCCTACTTCATTTTTCTCCATGGCACATTCCACCATCTAAGTTGTATGTTTACTTACATGTTGTTTTTCATTTTCCAACTAGATTGTCAGCTCCATAAGGACAAGGACTTTATTTTAGTCATTGCTGTATCCCTAGCACTTAGCCAGTGCCTGGCACTTAGGAGGCACTCAGTAGTTATTGATTGAGTGAATACATTGATTGAACATTTTTGAAAAGCAACTAAAACATGATTTAAAAGCCGTTTTTTAAAAAGTAAGAGAGTGATTAAATTCTATGCACTTGATGATGAGAGAGAGCTGCATGTGGCAAATTCTGAGAGGATGGGATCAAGAGCAGTAATGAAGGTTGTTTTTTTCTCCCTCTTAGATAGTAAGAAAAGAGAAGATGATGGGAGAATAATTTCCAAGTGTAGAGGAAGTGGTAGAATCACAACAAGCACTGTGTGTTGGCAGTCTTTGAAAAGACTAGGTTGATGGAAGCAAAAGGTTGGTGCAGGGCAGTAGCAGAAAATAAGGAACATTGGAATTTATTTATAGGCAAATAAATAATTTATAGGCAAATGGGAACAGATGTTGAAAGTCTTGAAGGTGAGTCAGAGGAGGTCAGCCTGCCGTGATGCATGATGGAGATCAATAGTGTGAATTCTTGAACTGTGCGAGATGAGAAAGCTGTCTAAATCTAAGCTTGTTAGTGTCCTGTAAGGTGGCAAGGAGGGTGGCTTAAGAAATACCAACTGGGAGGCAGTTGTAACAAGGCGGGGTTGAGGTAATAGTACTCTAGGTGGTAAGGAGTGCAGGGTGTGGTGAAGCAAAGGCGTGAATGTAAGGTCAGAAGTCAGTGATGTGGTGAAGAACAAGGCTTGGCGATTAACTGCAGGGGGACGCAAAGGAAGAGGAAATAAAAGCTTCTGTCAGTGTTAAGAAATCATATTTTCTTTTAATTATTTTCTTTTTTCATTGTAGGTTTCTCTGTCATTCACAGAAAAATGGATCATTTAAATCTTTGGAGGACTCAATTATCACAATACTTCTATGCTACCAATTAAGATTTATGACAGTAAATTTATGACAATACGTTTCAGCATCATAGAACTGCTGAAGAACAAAAAGAGGATATTCTTTTATAAGAAAAATCCTGTAGTATCATGATAATGCTAAATAAAAAGCACAATTATTAAATTATTAGACTTGCTAATACAAGCTCACATGTGCAACAGCTACTGTATCCTGACAGTTAACAAACCTCAAGTTTAGATTTTTCCCCTTTTTGGGAAAGGTCATTATATTTGCAAGAAACCACTGAACGTTGCCAACGAATATATTTGCAGCTGAGTGTCATTTAGGAGAATTTACTTGAAACAAGTCTAGAAAATTTCAAGTCCCACCACTAAGTGGATTTGATATTATGGCAGCAACTTACAGACTTGTGGTTAGTACTGTGAACCACTACAGCAGTGTGGTGATAGACCGGCGTTTTGAGCAAGCTATACATTATTGCACTGGAACCTGCCACACCTTCACACATGGAGTTGACTGCATTGTGGTACATCATAGTGTTTGTGCAGACCTCTTGCACATCCCTGTGTCTCAGTTCAAAGATGCAGATCTGGACTGTATGTTTCTACCCCATGAAAATGGCTTTTCCCCAGCTGAAGGTGACTATCCTCATCAGGCTCTCGCAGGCATACCCAGGGTCAAGAAAGGATCTGCATTTCAGAACGCCTGTAACTTAAAGGACATTGCAGGAGAAGCAATCAGTTTTGCCAGTGGGAAAATAAAAGAGTTTTCCTTTGAAAAACTCAAAAACTCTAACCATGCAGCTTATAAAAAGGGAAGAAAAGTTAAGTCTGACTCATTTAATAGGAGGTCAGTTGATTTTGACTTGCTCTGTGGCCATTATAACAGTGATGGGAACTCCCCATCCTTTGGTTTACTCCGGAGTTCCTCACTTGAGGAAAAATCGTTGTCCCATAGAAACTCACTTGATACGAACCTGACTTCGATGATGCTTCACAACTTCTCTGAAGAAGACCTGGTTACTCAGATTTTGGAAAAACATAAAATAGATAATTTTTCTTCTGGAACAGACATAAAGATGTGCTTGGACATCTTGCTGAAATGCTCTGAGGATTTGAAAAAATGCACAGACATCATAAAACAATGCATAAAGAAAAAGTCAGGGAGTGGCATCAACGAAGGAAATGGTAACAATGCAGTTTCTAGCTCTGAAACTGTCTATATGAATGTAATGACCAGGTTAGCATCCTATCTGAAAAAGCTACCATTTGAACTCATGCAGTCTGGGAATAATGAGGCTATAGATTTAACAGAACTGGTCAGTAATATGCCTAGTTTACAACTGACTCCCTTTTCCCCAATATTTGGCACTGAACAGCCCCCTAAATATGAAGATGTTGTCCAGCTCTCAGCCCCTGGCTCCGCACAGTTTCAAACTATAGAATTGCAAGATGACAAGGACAGTTCTAGGAAAACAGACACTGTAAAATCCATTCCAAACAACTCTACAAATTCCTTATATAACTTAGAGATAAATGATCCCAGAACTCTAAAAGATGTCCAACTTCCATCACAGTCATTAACCATGAACCCTTTAGAAAATGTTTCTTCTGGTGACCTAATGGAAACCCTTTATATTGAAGAAGAGTCAGATGGAAAGAAAGTATTAGATAAAGGACAAAGGACAGAGAATGGACCCTTTAACAATCAGGAGTTGTTAAAGGTAAATGAAGACAGAGCAGAATTTTCAGACCATGGTACTCATCTTAAAAAACGTCCTGCCTCATTGCAAAATGAAATTAGTAAGATATTTGAGAAACCAGTTATTAATCTACCTGAGGAAGATCTTCAATCAGAAGTTTCTAAAGTTGGCGAGGGAGACCACAGAGATTTTATGAATCCTAATAGTCAGGAAGAGATAGATAAATTGTTACTGGATTTGGAATCTTTTTCACAGAAAATGGAGACCTCTCTAAGAGAGCCACTTGCCAAAGGTAAAAGCTCTAACTCTCTGAATAGTCATAGTCAGCTGACTGGTCAGCTCCCTGTAGATCTTGAGCCAAAATCTAAAGTCTCTCCACCCATGGAAAAAGTCTCACCTTCCTGTCTAACAAGGATTATTGAAACCAATGGACACAAAATAGAGGAAGAGGATCGAGCTCTCTTACTGCGAATTCTAGAAAGCATTGAAGATTTTGCTCAAGAACTAGTTGAATGCAAATCAGGCAGAGGGAGCCTATCACAAGAAAAGGAAATGATGCAAATTCTACAGGAAACCTTGACACCTTCCTCCCAGGCCAATTTATCGGTCTGTAGAAGTTCTGTTGGTGATAAAGCCAAAGATACTACTTCAGTGGTTTTGATTCAGCAGACCCCAGAGGTGATCAAGGTAAGACCCAACAAACTTAGTCCTGAGAAGTGTCCAAAGAAATGTTTTAATGTTTGCAAAGTTGATAAACAAAAACTATTTTTCTTAGCCATTTTATGTTCTACTAAAGCTCCTGCCCTGCACTAGGCATGGTCTCACTCAGTTCAGTGAAAAAAACTAAAAAGCAAAGGCTTTAGAGTTAAGCAGACTGGTTTCAACTGCTTTCCACACACCCGTCATCTTCTTCCTAGCTCTGTGACCAAAGGAAAGTTATTTAGCTTTAATATCCTCATCTGTATAATGGAAATAATAAGGATCAAGATAACTTAAGTGAAGCACAAGCAAGGTGCCTTATACTAAGTAGGCATTTAATGTTAGTCCTCATCCTCCCCAGTCAACCAGTAGACGAGCATTACTGCATGCCTATGTAGACTGTAAGGTCCAGTGTGGGGAACAAAAGACATGATTCTTGAAGAGCTTAAATTCTAGTTGGGGAAACAAAACGAACATATCAGAAACAGTACGTGAACATGTAGGCACTTCTCTGAAAGTATTGCTAGTGCAATAGGTCTTCAAAAAAGGTAGACTAGAGTATATGAGATTTGCTTCCTCATTCAAGTGAGAATAAATATCACAGTAGAGTCCTGGGATAGAAGTATTTTCAAAAGGCTTTGAATCTACCCTGCTGCTGATAGCATTGCCTTTGGATAATCTCAGAAAGGCAATTATCTGCTCATTTGTGTGTATGCGTGTATGTCTTAGCGCAACAGTATTGTTTCTTGTTCATTTTACATGTCCAGCATGGGTTGGCAAGAGGCTCTACTCCACCTCACTCAGGGACCCAGGCTGATAGATGCTCCATGTTCCTACAGCTGCCCCTTTGCCCCATCTGGAATATGTGGCTTTTGTGTTCACTGAGGAAGGGGAAGAAGGGATGGTGCTTTTAACTGCCTTGTGCCATACATGACACACGTCCCTTCTGCTCACAGTCCAGTGATTCCAACCCAAAAGCTAAGAAACATAGGTAAGCACATAGAGTATTTGGTGAGTACTACCTCTACCACACCAGTGTACTCTACGTGTCAACATGTATGAATTCAGACATAAACCCAAATCAACAAAGCAAGTTGTAAAATAATATGAATTATTTAGAGGTATGTGTGTTTGTACGAAAGTATGAACAGGGCCGGCCCCGTGGCTTAGTGGTTAAGTGCGCGCGCTCCGCTGCTGGCATCCCGGGTTCGGATCCTGGGCGCGCACTGACACACCGCTTCTCCGGCCATGCTGAGGCCGCGTCCCACGTACAGCAACTAGAAGGATGTGCAGCTATGACATACAACTATGTACTGGGGCTTTGGGGGAAAAAATAAATAAGTTAAAAAAAAAAAAAGTATGAACAAATATATGGATATACCAAATACAATGTTCAGAACAATGATTGATTAATTAAAGAGATGAGCTGCACAAAGTAGAAAATGTGAACCTGAAGCCAAGAATAAGTCCTGTGTAGCACCTCTCCTGTTTCCCTGGCTGACAATTCATGAGCGGGTCTCCTGTGATACCCTCAATCTAAGTACAGCTACCTAAAAATGCCACACTGGGCTCTAAATGAGCTTCCCAGTTTTTTGACAAGTATAGACTGAAATCAAAATCTTATTAAAAGATTCTCCCATCAGTCTTTTAAATAAGTTCCAATATCATAGAATAGAATAAAATTTGATGAGATTTCTTCTTGATAAAAGTTGAAATAGTAATTCATGAAAAGCTAATTTAAAAAGCTGTAATATAAAATGTATAATTCAGGGCCATGCTGAGACGGCGTCCCACATACAGCAACTAGAAGGATGTGCAAGTATGACATACAACTGTCTACTGGGGCTTTGGGGAGAAAAAGGAGAAAAAAGGAGGAGGATTGGCAAAAGATGTTAGCTCAGGGCCGGTCTTCCTCAGCAAAAAGAGGAGGATTGGCATGGATGTTAGCTCAGGGCTGATCTTCCTCACAAAAAAATAAATAAATAAAATAAAATGTATAATTCAGGAAGATAGTTAATACAAAAAAACAAAACCATTGTTCCTGGACTCCATTTTCCTACCTACTTGTTCTTTTTTTTTTTTTTTCCTAATCTTTCTTTTCTTCCTAAGAAATATTTTAAACCACAAGTTGGCAAATGTTTTCTGTAAAGGGCCAGATAGTATATATTTTAGGCTTTGTGGGTCACAAGGTCTCTCACATAGTCTTCTTCGTCTTTCTTTTTTTTTTTTAAACAACGCTTTAATAATGTAAAACCGTTCTTAGCTCCAAGCCTTAAAAAACAGGCAGTGGCCCAGATTTGGGCCACAACTGTAGTTTGTCATCCCCTGTTTTAAACAAATAGGAAAGTATGTTGAATGATAGAAAAAGCCCTCTTATTATCTACCACTTAGCTTTGTCAAATCTGAACATTTTGCCATATTTGCTTCAGGGCTTTGCTTTATTTAATATTTTCATTATTATCATCATCATTGTTTTAAAAAAAATCATCTCAGATATAGTTGAAATCTGTAGGGCTCACCTCCCAAGTATCCTCTCCCCTTTCCAGAAGTAACCACTATCCTAAAGTTGGTGTTTAGCTCTTCCTACAAGTCTTTATACAGAATTGTCATGTTTTTATTCTTATAGAGAGAGAGTGAGGAGAAAGTAGTAGGAAATAAAACTGGAGAGATCAGTTGAGGCCAACTTATGAATAGACCTTGTATGCTATGCTAAAGAGTTTGTTTTAGAGGAGTGGGGAGCTCAAATAGGCTTTTAAGCAGAGGAGTCTCACAGTATGATTTTTTTCCCTTAAGAATTATAATTTTTTTTAAAGAATAATAAATTTTAAATTAAGGCTTTTTTTTTAACCTTTTGGACAGTTGAAAATTTACCAATTGCTCAAAACATTTTAATTAAAAAATTTACATAATGAGGCAAATAGGAATTGGTTTTATATGACGGTGATTATCCCTGAGAAGAAAGATTGACTTGACAGTATTATATGTCATTAATATTTTAATATGTATTTCCAAATAATTTCTCAAGAGTGAGCAGAATTTCTTGTCCAGATACTTGTCCAGAAATACAGTTCAAACCTGTATTGGGAGAGGGAGTCAAATAGAAAATACTAGGAGGATATTGAGAGATTGATAAAGAGGATATTGGTGTAGATCAGGGGTCAGCAACCTGTGGCCCATGGGCCAAATCTGACCTGCCACCTGTGTTTGTAAATAGCTTTGTTGGAACACAGCCATACCCATTCATTTACATATGGTCTATGGCTGCTTTTGTGCTCCACCTACTAAGTTGAGTAGTTATTAACAATGGAGACTTTAAAGCCTAAAATATTTACTATGTGGCCATTTACAGAAAAAGTTTACTGACTCCTAGATATTATTTCATGGTAGATCAACAAAACAGATTTTTGGTAAGGTTCAGTGTGATATTTTGTTAAAGGCATTGGAAATCTGGGAAACATCATTAAATATCAATTGCAAAACTACCAATGGTTGATGACAGTCAAACAGTGTACTGATGGAAATAGAAAAGTAAATAAGCCCAGAGTTTCAAAATGCTTCGAGTTCTAATCATGGTTCTGATCCACATAGGTTTTCTCCCCTTTCCTCTCCAGTCACCATCTATCTCTGACTTTTCCACTTAAAACAGCTTCCTTTTCATCCCATGTCTTATTCCCCATTCTTTTTTCCTTTGTCTTATTCCCCATTCTTTTTTCCTTTCTTTGCATGTGCACTTTCTCACTGTGTCAAGTTATCTATATCATTGGCTAGCAGGTGAATGTGCAGTACATGCTTTTTTCACAAAGCCTGTAGGTGACAGGAAACAACCCTATAGGTTCTAGAATAGCTGCAGTGTGCAGATGGGCCTGAAAGTTAGTTGAACAGGAACAAGAAAACAGCTGGTGAAGGAGGGCAAGGGGGATGTGGCTGAGGTCTCAAAGGGCTTCTTAATTATGAATGAGTGAATTACTGAGAACATGTTTTGACATGGGAGATAATATAATAATTTTTTTAAAAACACTTGGAGGGCCGGCCCTGTGGCTTAGCGGTTAAGTGTGCGCACTCCGCTGCTGGCGGCCCGGGTTCGATCCCGGGCGCGCACCGACACACCGCTTCTCCGGCCATGCTGAGGCCGCGTCCCACATACAGCAACTAGAAGGATGTACAACTATGACATACAACTATCTACTGGGGCTTTGGGAGAAAAAATAAATAAATAAAATTATAAAAAAAAAAAACACTTAGAAACTATAGGTGCTTTAGTAATTCATGTAATAAATGAAATCTTAATTCTGTGTTTTATTACCACCAGCAGATGGTATTACAGTCATTTTTGGTCTGTTTTTAGCCTTATGGGGCAATAGCCTATTAGCTGTTATACAGAGGTTAAAATAATAAACCCTAGCCTCCCTTGAAAATTATTTATTTTTCTTAATTTTAGTCGAAACAAAGCTAGGAAAAAATTTCCATTACTGCTTACCTCTATTGAAAGAATGGGGCGCAGGGGGAGGATTCTTCAATGAAAGAGGAAGAATTTAAGGTAAATAAAGAGGAAGATTATTTTTTTAAAAAGCTATACTATAATATTTAAGTTTAGTGAAACCTTACAGATTTCAGCTAATTGAGGGGGAAACCTGTCTGAATTACTAAAAAGTACAAATTAAAATTTTAATGTTTTTAAGAAATAGCTGTATTAATTTCAAGATTAAAGAGTAAAACTATTGTCAAGTTATTGTCAAGTGTGGACTGTAACTGGACCTATTTCAATAATGTGGTAAAGATCATATATAGTTATTAAATTATTAAAGAAGACAATTTAGGTGATACAAACAAACTTTAATACTTCATAAAGTGGACAATCTTCTTTCAGAGGACTACAAAATGGGGCAGAAGGCAAGAAGCTTTTATAGGATGAAGAATAAAGAGCAAGGAAGATAAAAACAGAAAATATCTGATTGGCTGGGGCCACAGAGTAAACCTCATTTGGGGTG